GGTCATTAGAGGTCGTAAGAGGTCATTAGAAGGTCAAACACTCGATTTGTTGCTGCTACTTTATTCCCTGGGTTCCTAGCTTTCGTTTGATATGCATTAAGCCATAGTTGAAATATTTTCTATTTGTGGAGGTCATTAAAGGTCATTAGAGGTCATTAGAGGTCATTAAATTCAATTTTATTTTATTTTATTTTTGATTTTAAGTTATTTGTACTGGGTACAACAATCAATTAATTAGTTTGTAGATCTGCATAATAAACAGACCAATGATTGATCCTAAGAATCAAAACACTTAAGTTTTGACTTCCGAGCTTGGAACTTTTGTGTTTTATACCCATAATCCCACTTGCTTGAAGTCAATATTCTCTGTGGGCACTTTGTATTTTGCACAGAATCTGCTTGGACATTCACAATATCTCTGTTCTCTAATTATCTAATTGATTAGATACAAAATTCCCTGGCTTCTTAATGGCTGTAGATTAACAAAAAATCAAGATCAATGCTTTATCCTGATATCCACCAGTGAAGAGATCCCAGCTCTGATAAATTTTGATAAATAGATGTAATTGAACCAATATTCTTGTGTGCAGGTTCAAGTTGAAGAAAAGTGGTTCAACTATGTCTACCCAATTCAACAACTTTTTATTATTCATTAACTTTGGTCCATGTTTTCTAGTTTATTCTTTTGATGAACATTTTGCCTTAGGAACAAGTACCCTAAAATTTAGTTTTGCCTTAAACATTAATATTTTTGAAAATATTAATGCGGATTCACACAGATCGCCTTGGTAACCCGAAATCACCATTTGCATAAGACTAGAATATTCTAAATTTTATGCTATAAATTCTGTTATGCACCTTGATTAATAACTGACTACTCTAGGGTTCCACAGCATATTCTCTTCTCTATTGGTGGATTCAGGGAATAATACCATTTTGCTCACATTTATATACTACTTAAAATGTATACTGTTAATGTTTTTTTTTTGTAGCAAAAATAAGTAATAATAATTGATCCTAAGGTTGCAAGCACTCACTCAAAATCGATGAAATTTTTTTCAATTGATGCTAAAAATTAAAGCTAAAATCTAGCGCTCATAGTTTTTTACAATGTACATGTTTAGGGCTACACAATAGTTGTAGCCCTAAACATGTACATTGTCTAAGTGAGTTAGTGAGGAAAGAATATAAGGTCACAAAGTTGACCCGGTATCAGTGCAGGCTGGATCTTTGTTCTTATTTTTGGCTATATATATATTCACTAGTTTATCCTGCTCATATTTGTATGATGTTCTAATGTTCTTATTTTTACTTCAAATGTGAGAAATGAAATCTTGAGTTTAATGAAGAAATAAGGGGTTTCCATGAAATTGTTATCAAATTATTTAAATCACGAACTACAATTTATTTTATAAAAATAGTTTTTTAATTTTCATTTCTAATGGTTATATTTACTTGGCCTTAGTGGTCAAGCACCTTCTTCTGCCATAGATGTTTATGATATCAGGTTTCATTTTATTTCATAAAACTTTAAAGTTCCAGAATCTATTAAGAATCTATTGCAGGAGCAACAGATGGAGACGAGTAGATTTTTCTCTGCCTGTTGGTATTGCATATCCATCTGCAGAGGTTCATAAAGGTAACTTATATAAACAGATGGATGTAGTTAATTTTGGACGATTGATCTTAATATCCAATGTAGGCACTTTAATGCTTGATCCTTCAATTAAAGTGGTCCTTGCAGGGTATATACTATATACAATATGGTATCAAAGAGGAATTAATTTAATCCTTAGATCTGCTTAAGATAGAGATCAATGCTTGATCCACACAAAAATTCTGACTTGAAAAGGGGTAACTAGTAGAATATTAATATTTCCTAGCAGAAATATCTAATTTTTAGATTTTTTTCGTGAAAGTTAATAGACTTAATGAGCCAGCACATTATTGAATAATAAACATAAATTTGAAATAAAGAGCAAATGAAAACTCAAGAATTTCATTGTCCAAAGAAATTAAAGTGATAGATAATAAACATGCTAAAGATTAATATTTAGATAAGATATATTTGGTTGGAGGTGTAATGCAACCAAACCATCAACAACCCCAAGAGTTTTCCAATTTATGCTTCTCAGGTATTTCACAAAAATATTCAATTATAGTTAAAATTAAAAATATAAATAAATTTGTTATTCTTCTTAAAGGGACAGGCCGGCTATGTAAGGTAGTGAAACTGAGTATGCAGTGTTGTGGACAAATTCTTTAGGATTCGTTTGAGAAATATATAAAGTTCTGTAAATCCCGAGTTTTAGCACAAAGTCGACGTTAAAAATCGTACTTTTGGGAGGATATGTTTTAAGAATGGTTAAATAACGACGACATAAAATATAAACAAAATTCTACAGAAAACTAATTTGTTCTTCAGGAACAGGTTGAGAAAATTAAGATTAATATTATCATCGAAAATAAGTAATCTTATTCAATTATTAGTTTCTATAATCTCTGATTATTAACTAATATTTTCTTCAGATTTTCTGGAATTTTTATTGAAAAGACGACATTTTAAGAATTTGTAGAAATCTGCGAATAAATTAACAAATTTCTGAGAAATATGTTCCTAAACATCTAATTAGTTTACTGTATAATTTTTACTTTATTTTTCGTCTTCGTTATTTAATAATTTTAAAAAAGCCGATTCTGAAAACGTACCCACCCAAATTCATGATTTTGAACGTTGACTAGGCACTCAAACTCACTAATTAAACATCGTGGAAACGTTTTATATGTCTCAAATAAACGCTAAAGAATTTGTTCACAACACTGCATAAATAGTTTAACTACCTTACATAGCTGGTCTGTCCCTTTAAACCTCAGGATTTTGGGATGCATCCAGTGGATGTAGAAAATTAGAAAAGATTATTTTCATATTTTCACTAAGTACAAAAATCTATGTTCTAAAGGTTTTCTTTTGTATGTTGTGAAAACATTTTAGGCGAGGTGGGGAAGACTTCACTGCAGATTTTACTTTCGTACATGACCACTTTTTCAACAATTTTCAATTAAATTAGTATTTATTTGGGTTAGGTTAGGTTAAGACACTTTCTGGGCCGAGCGCTGCGGCTAGGATTCAATCTCGATCTACAAATGTCATCCCCCCTTAATCATGCTTTTAATTAAGCGCGGCAGTGAAGTCTTCCCCACTTCGCACACTCGAAGGTTGGAGTTCAGTGTCTGCCAACATTTTACTCCCAAACCAATAGACCAATTAAGTAAAGTTTATTATTTTTACAAAGGGTGTGCACAGTGCACAGTGCACAGTGCACAGTGCACAGTGCACACTGTTTAGTGCACAGTGCACAAATGAGGGATGAATAATGAGCGTCCTTCCTATCAAATATTAAGAAAAGGTTTAATAAATCTAACTTTAGAAAAAGTATTTTTGGTTATCAAAGTATTTTCTCATTGACTTGTTTTTAAATAATAATATAACTTGATTGTTAAAGTGTAATTTCAAATGACCCTCCATTCAAAGATAGCAATGGCCATTTCACAACGTTTTAAAATTCTGTATAAACGTTTATCATTTTAAAATTTTCAATTGTTGGTTGTCTACAAAAGTGACTGGCGCATTTCTACAGAAGGCAAACTTTTTGTAATTTTCAGAATTATTCACTTTTAAACCCTTGAAAACATCAATATCTTCCACATTATTGACCAAAAAAAAAGTTCAAGGGTACCATTGTGAATCAGGTATTGCTATCTTTGCATGGAAGATCACTTAACATTACGTTTACAGTCCTTTTAAATGTTGAATTTCTCTTTAAATGTCTATTATAGTTAATTATAGTTAATATTGGATCTAAGAGAGTTGAACCATATCCTGGAATGCTAGAGAAACGAAATTTTGTTACATCTGCAGTAGTAAACAACACTTTGTATGCACTAGGAGGCAAGCCTGATCCAGGTTTAAAATTATACAGTTATATCATTTAGATATAATAGCAGTGTTCCTCCCAAGTCCCATCTTTAACTTGAAATGTCAATGCTGGAAGTCTGAAATTCCGACAAAGATTTAACTTGGACTGATCTTAGGATCATTTCTTAATTAAAGTCCTAGAACCGGTTCAAACCAAACTAAAAGTGAACCAGGCGTTCAACTTATGGTACATTGGGCTAGATCCAAATTGCAAAATTTCCCCCTGATTTGACAATGATTACCTCAGTTTTTGCCTCAAACTCTGATTTTGTTATCCCTTTATCTTTGCAACCTGAATTTGTAGACCTTTGACATTTAAACTATGAAATCCTCCAGCGGAAATAGTTTATGTTTGACATATCAAAAGACTTTTGTAACCTGACGGTGTACTCTTTTCAAAAGAGTACACCGTCAGGTTACAAATACTTTGTTCGTTCGTGGGAAAAACTCAATTCCTTTTCAGATTTTTTAAATTTTTAATATAAAAGGTTAGACAGACTGACTCCAATTGGTTCTGGGAGGAACCCTGTATTGAAAACACATTTATGTTTATTTTTTATAATTGATAAATTATCATCATGCTATCTTCTAAAATATCTTTTCTTTTTGAGATTTTTTTTCTTTTATGGCATATACGATATACATTTTTACTTGACTTTCCATACTAGGCTATTTTTTATTAAAAAATACAGTTATTTTTTTTCACTCGTTGTTGAAAACACAAAATATACGCCCCTGCTTTTCTTTTATGAAGCATATATTTAACTAACTTACTATTGGAGGGGTTCAGATAAGGCTAAACTCCTGTGAGCAACTGAAACTTAAAGATGATCAACCGAAATGGAAACATATTTCTCCCATGGTACATTCAAGGTACAAATAAATATTTTGATAATACATTTTAATAGGGTTAATTTTCTTTTTTTATCTCTAGATTGGGAAAATGCAATGCTTTTACTGGAAAAGTAAATTAATTATCTGGAAATCTTGCCAGCAGATGATGGAGTGAGGGGGGGGGGGGTTAATTGTTTAAAAAGTATATCTACCATGAATTTTTTTTAACAGGTCAGATGCGGGTACAGCTGTACTTAATGACAAGATATATGTTATTGGAGGAATGCTTTTATTCTGAATCATAAATGTTGTAAAAATTATTTGCTTTTCTTTAACGGAGAGTTTGTAATTTTAAAACAAAAATGATGACCCCCTAGAAGTTAAGAAAAAAGATTTGCAAGTTTTTTCTCAAACATGATTAATTCCTGCCTTGCATTTTTAATTCAGAAAAAAATTATAATTTCAGTTTTTTTCCGTAAAATATTTAAAATGTTTTTCTCTTTGCATATTAAAACATTAGATAGTTCTAAAATCAAGGTAACAGTTGTTTATGCCTTCAGAAAATACTTCATACATTTCTAAGATTATTAAAATGTGTATGGCATTCTATTAAAGTTTAACGAATACAATCAAAGATTCAAGAGATTCTCTCAAAGTTATCATTCATATTATGTAACAAAAATTGTATAAAATATTATTAAGTCAACATTTCTTTGAATTCAATTAAGATTGTAAGAAAGGTCAAACACAAGCAAAGGATATAATCAAGCACTGGACAGGGTTCAGTGGAGAAACTAGTTTACGAAGTGTAGAGGTCTACAATACAAACACTAATGCATGGAGTACAGCACCCCCACTTAATATAAAAAGGTGAGAACTTAATCATTTAAAAATCCTTCATAGTGCGTTCTCAATATGTGCACCTTGACACGACAAACTAATGTATATTGTATGTAAGATTGACATATTACAGGGTCTCATTCATATAACTCCTTGAATTGAAGAGCTATTGAGGAGAATACAAATTTTATGAATTTCTAATATACAACCACATAAATTTGCTTTTCTTATACTTCTGCGTAAAATTAAAATTAGAGGAGATTTAAAGTCACAAAGTTGTACCGTTGATTAAATTTTATCTTCTCCTTCTCTATAGTGCTAAATATGTATTCTTAATGTGCATCCTTAATGTTTCAAGCTAATAATACTTGTCAAGTCCCTCATTTCTAGAAAGTGTACACTGCAGCACTCCAGTCCAATAGTTGGATGGATCTGTGCTGGCACAACACGTACTGTATATGAAGTCCGTTGTACTATCCAGTCAGGCTACCACCTGGTACGCTTTTTGCAACAAATGTAGCATGGCAAGATAACAATGACAATGCACGTTGTACATAGCATTCCGTGGTCTAATCAGGATTAGATGCATTGCGTTTTCTTCAATTCGATTTCAATTACGTTTTCAATCGATAATCCAACAATAATTATTGACATTTAGTATGTTTTCATTTAAAATGCATCCGCCGTAAAGTATAAGAGAAAAAAGAGAAAAAATTATGTATAATTGATAAAATTGTGATCAAAAGAGACAGTTTGCTGGATCAAACACTGAATATATGTTTAGAACTGGAGTATCCTGTGTAGAACTAGGTGGGAGAATATATGCTCTGGGTGGGAATGATGGTGGAGAAAGACTGTCCTCTGTTGAAAGATATTCTCCGCTGAATAACAGGTTTTTGTATAATTCAAATTAGGTATTTAGATAAAACGCTCACAGAATATTCTTATTTTTTAATCCCTATATAGCTTCATAACATGCTTTCTTCAACCATAGATTAATAACAATACAGATAGAACACTAGATGTCGTCTTTTCAAGATTTAGGGTTTTTTCGTTCACCCTTAAAACGCCCAATGTTACGAAGCACCCAAAACAAAACGTCCAATTACAAAACGCCAAATGAAACAAAACGCCCAAGCAATGCAACAAAACGCCCAATTACATAACGCCCAATGCAACAAAAATTTGGCGATTTGTTGCACTGGACGTTTTGTTTTTTGCCGTTTTGTTATTGTGCGTTTTATACCTACTTACTTAAAACCCTTAAATCTTGAAAAGACGACATCTAGTGTTCTGTATTGTTTTAAATATACGTCGTAAACTCTTGATATTTCGATATATGAATTCTGGTAGATCTAGTATTCATATGTTGGAAATATCAAAGATTGACACGTCATCAGGTTGCAATGACATTGGGATTAATAATAAAATAATTTATTTTTATTTAATTTTTATCATTCAGTGTTTAAAAAAAAAATCTCAAAAATGTTTAATTTTAGGGTAATACAGACCTTTTTTACATTTTGGGAGAAACAAATGCCAGGAGGCGGGGGGGGGGGGTTAATATTTTTTAAGACAAATGTACCTTTTATTACTAAAGATGGGAGCTGATGTCACCAATGCTATGTTCTCGGAGTAATTTTGGTGTTGGTGTAGTAGAAGGGAAGATTATAGTGTTTGGTGGATATGACGGGAATCATGTCACACGAACCATTGAGATATATCATCCGGTAAGTGAATTATTACATTAGCGCCCCCCCCCCCGGACTAACTCCTGTATGTAGTGAGACATATATTATTTGCCTGGGGTTTTTCCAAAAATCGAATTATTGCCAACACTAAAAAATTTTAATCCCCATATCTTTGCAATCTGATTTTATATTATAAACCTGTGATTTTTAAACTTAGATTATTTGATCTAACAGAATTCATAGTTTGAAATATCAAAGGTCTACTACATTGGGTTGCAAAGGTATAAAGGTTAGAAAATTAAGAGTTTGTGGCAAAGACTCAGTTCCTTTGGTCGTTATTTAATAATTTAAAAAAACTAATTCTGAAAACGTATCCACCCCCAAAGTAGGAGTTTTTAGTGTCGAACTTGCGCGCTCAAACTCAGGGTTTACAGATCTTTAAACAGTTTTATATGTCTCAAATGAATCCTAAAGAAGCTTTCCACAACACTGTATACTCAGTTCAACTACCTTACATAGCCGGTCACTCCCTTTAAATATTTGTTATGAAGCCGGCTGTATCTCCCTCCAGCTTATATTTATTTATTATATTTGTTATGAAGCCGGCTGGAGAATTTGTACTCTACTGCTGGGATTAAGGAACAAGCTAGGAGTTATATATATATACACTTTGATTGTCTGGGGTTTGTTCGTTTCTTTCTTTGTCTGCTTGTGTCTAATAAATGTCAAAACGGCTGAACCGATCGGGCCCAAATTTTGTGTGTGACCTTATATGACTCAAGGAAAGGTTTATGAATGATCTTTAGCAAAAATTAGCCTCCAACAAAATTTGATTTTAATTAAATTTAGAAAATTTACTATTACTTTTTATAAAATACGAGATATTTTTTTTTATTGTTTTCAATGTTCACAATGAAATAGCAGATGGGCGTGACTTGAAGCCTAGTATGTATATATATATATATATATATATACTATATACTATATACTATATATACTATATATATGTATATACTAAAAAATGTAAATTTTTTACCTTATTATTTACATATATATTTATATTTTCTTTTGTTTAATTTGTATAAAGGATCTGGTTAAGAATAAAATAAATAGCAAGTTTAATCTGCAGGAAACCATCAATGTTTAGGAAAAAACGACTGAATTAATTGTGTACAATCGTCTCTAAATTCTCATCATTTGTGGGCCCCCCTGTATATATATCTCCAATCCAAAGTAACTTTTTCTCTAAAAGTTACTTTTATGCCCCATCCATTACCACCGGGCAGAACATGCGAGGCGCATTTTTTGACGCCCTTTCCGACAGGAATTTAGAACAGGAACAGAGTCTGTAAACTCTCCCCTCAAACATTGAGAAATACCAGAATTATCCAGTAATCTGCTCCTCTAACAGGAGACCAGAACTAGCACAGAGTTCAATACTCTCCGCTAAAATTATATTCCTCCTTGTAAGGATTTTCACAAATAAACACACAAGTAAAATTTACACCTTGAGGGAGGAAAGGCACCCGTAATGGCTTCCTTTCCACACTCGTTTTGTCTTCCTGCAAAATACGTTTACTTTTTAAGCTTATCATAACTCAGGAATCCCTTGACCTATATTTGCCTCAAATTTTGATCGGAGAACTCGGTATGAACCACGGAAATATTACTATAGCTTTGTTTTAAAAAATCTAAATTGAGTGGGTTGACTTGTATAGGGAAAACCTAGTTACCTTGCAAAGCTGGGAACCTGAGCTAAATATTGTATTTTTATCAAGGATCTAGATGAATGGAGAGAAGGTTGTCCAATGCTGTATCCTACATCAGGCATGGCAACAGCTGTAGTTCAGACTTCAAATATTTCAAGCTTTTTACAGGTTAATATCTAGCTTCTAGGTCGAGATGGACACGTTCGACTTCTTTCGTTTCATTCCTTTATCCTTCATCGTTCTTCATTTCGTTAGTTATTTTAATCGTTCAAAAAAATTGATTTCGTACGTTCTCAAAATTATCGTTCATATTATATATATATTTCGCTTGTTTTCTCACTGAACAACCGTTGAGTTAAATCGTTCGTTCTGCAAAATTGTTCGATCAATAAAATCGTTCGTTCAGTTAAAAAAGCTATAGTTTTTCAAAAATTTGTTTGAAAAAACCGTTCGTAAGTAAAAAACTATCGGCGGTTTTTTTGTTAAAAAAAACGAGGATTTTTTTCATTTCTCTGAATGTTCCATTTCCTTCGTCAACGACACCCTTTTTTACGAAAAATGTCATACATTCTCAAAAATTTCGTTCATTCCAGAAAACGATGCCTATCTCTACTTCTAGGTATTTCAAGCTTCTAATTACAGCCCTCTGAAAAATTGTTAAGTCACTTGAGAATAAATTTGTTCTTGTTAAGGAGGATTACTGCTATGATAGAAAACATGAACTACTGATGGAAAACAGGAATAAAACATCCACGGATAGAGATGTTCTTTTCTATGAGGATATCGACAGGTGAAACAGGGTGGAAAACTGTCTTCCCCCCCCCAAAAAAAAAAAACTGCCCCCCCCCAAAAAAAAAGTATTTTGTAAATAGAAAACAAGTAGAAAATTGGCTGTGATATTTTATCCTTTAGTTCTATACGTTTATGAATTAACGGTGCTTAGGATTCTATTTCATTTTGATGCGGATCCAAGTCATGGATCCAACCTGAAAAATGGAAACGGATTCAAAATCGGATTGGATCGTGTTTTTGACAAAAAAAGAAATGCCCGAAGTTTATTCTTCCTTTGTATCTTATTTTTTGCTGAAACTATATGAACCATTCAGATATTAGAAAGCTATGAATAATCTATCATTAGTTAACAATTGAGATTTGTGATTTCAGTGCAAAAGTATTTTGAGCAGGTTTTTGTTGATATTTTATTCTGGATCCGTATATTTGAGGATCCGGATCTTGGGGATCCAACAGGTCTAGATCCTAAGCGCTGTCTTAAACTACAGAGGTCCGCTTTTATATCAATACAATAAAGACGACTTTTAATAATAATGCTTTGATCCCTAACAAGCGTCTGCTTTTATATCAATACAATAAAGACGACTTATAATAATAATGCTTTGATCCCTAACAAGCGTCTGCTTTTATATCAATACAATAAAGACGACTTTTAATAATAATGCTTTGATCCCTAACAAGCATTTTTCAAATTACAAGTTTACAAGTAAACAAAGAGACGCTGTCAAGTGTTAATTGACAACTTCTCTTTCTTTATGTGTATCTGCTATTTAGAAGATTGATAGAGAAATCAAAAATTAAACAGAAAGTCGTCTTCATTGTATTGATATATACGACGACGACTGTATTTAGTGAAGATTATGCCGAGGAAGAGGAAGAGGACCTTTTTTATGAAACTGATCATGAAGATAATGATGATGATGAGGATATAGTTATTGAGTATGAATACTAATTTATCTGTAACCACAATATTTAGTCGATCTTAGATTTATCAATCTTTTGCTTGAAGCTAAATTTGCAGTTTATTTTTTAAGTGATAATATTAAATAAATTATCTTAATAATCGTCGGATTTTATAAACCATTTTTGTTATTTGATATTAAAATACCATTTAACATTTTTATCAAAAAAATTGTAGCGTAGCATTTGTCTAGAAAGTTTAAGGAATGTCGTGAATAACCTTTGTTGTATATTTATTTTAATAGTTTTGTTTATAAATGATATAATATTGGAAAAAGTTTGTAAAAACTAAATGCGAAATATACTGTATTGAAAAGATTTATACAGATAGAACATAATATATCACAGTAGAGAGTAGAAATATACGAAAATATTTTATACAAACTGAAAGCTTTATATAAAGAGATTCTATAAGAAATATTTGCAATTTTTTAACAGACCTCGTTTTCTTTCAAAATTAAATTAAATAGATCTTTTCTAAAAATAAAGTGAGTAAACTGATTTCTCTGAAGGAATCTTGAAAAAAACTAGAACGAAATGTTAAAAATATTTTAATATTTAAATATAAGCAAATAAAAGAATTATTACTGGAACAAGTAGAAGAAACACCATATAAACTGTTCCTCTGAAAATAATAAAAAATAACATTTTATTATTAAAAAATTATAGTTTTAACACATTGTCCAAAATGGTTAAAGGGCCAGATTTTTCTCTCGTATTTTGATACCCAAATTTTATGTTTAAACTAAAGGCTTTTTGTCCATGTATGCATGACTGGTCAGAATTAAAAGATATAGATTTTTCTGAATTGCCAGAATTCACCACAAAAAAAGTGGAAAACCTGTAGGTTCAATAGGTTTATCCATAATTGTGACCGAGGGAAAAATTATTGAAAATTAAACGTTTAAAAGAAAAATGTTAATATGGAAAGATGGAAGCTTAAAGTCAGAACAATTTGATGTGAAATTCCGCAAAATTTAAAATGCTTGAACTCGATATTTAGGATCCATGCCGTGATGATAACTTTTGAATTTGAGAAATAAGTCCTTGACCCTCCAATTTACGGGAGTGGTTACAAAACGCCCAATGTTAAAAAACGTCCAATGTTACAAAAAGTCTACATTTTATGGGAAAAAATAAATACAGTATTGTTCCATTTTTTTCAAAAAATTCGCAACTTTCTCTGTTTAAGTTCCTCAAAGTTAGTTTTCTAAACCACGCTGCGCCTAGAAGTTTAAATGCAGTTCATTTAAACTTTCATTTCAAAAAGATGACAATTGCATCATTTAGCGCCTTCAGTGTCCAATCTACGTCTTTAAGAGTTATTAAAATAAATATATTCACTTCAATTTGGCAATTCTAAAAATATTTTTTCTTGTCTACTGCAATTAGGGTTTCCAACGTAATAGATTATTCTCTTACGCGTAATTACGTGCAGTTACGCGTAATAATTTTCATTTCGTGTAATTTCGCAGGATTACGCGTAATGGGGAAATATCCATTTCGCGAAATTACGCCTTAATTACGCAAAACTAGACTTTCTTTCGTAAACGTAATAAACGCGTAATTACGCGTAATGCTCCTGCGTAAGTGAAAGAAAGTGTTACGCGTAACGTAATTACGACTGGAAACCCTAACTGCAATAGCTGAGCACTGAAGAAATTACTATACATTGGCATGTCAAACTTTTAAGAAAAATATTACTACAATGAAACTGTTTTAACCTAACCTAACCCTGAAATAATACAAACACCTTTCAAGTCCCAAATTATATTTTTCCCCGTCTTTTTAGGATTTTTAAAGTTTTCAGAATTTGGGCGTTTTTTTATGTGGCGTTTTGTTTTTGGCCGTTTTGTTATTGGGCGTTTTGTTTTTGGCCGTTTTGTTATGTGGCGTTTTGATAGTGGGCGTTTTGTTTTTGGCCGTTTTTTACCCACTCCCAATTTACGATCATGACAGAATATGGGAGAGGAATCAAATTAATTCACAAGCTGGAGATCAAGGATTGATCCTGAGATTTAAGTTCAAGCTTTTTTTACTGTTTTTAGTACCTGGGATGACAAATACTTTCAGCCCTTACAACATAATTGCATTGAGCGAAGTTATTATATCCTAGAGATTCACATTCAGCTCCTCCCTCTACTATATCAGGGACCTAACATTAAACATTATTATTTTAACCCCTAGTGAAGATATTATATCCTAGAGATTCACATTCCGCTCCTCCCTCTACTATATCAGGGACTTAACATTAAACATTATTATTTTAACCCCTAGCAAAGATATTATAACCCGGAGATTCACATTCCGCTCCTCCCTCTACTATATCAGGGACCTAACATTAAACATTATTATTTTAACCCCTAGTGAAGATATTATAACCCGGAGATTCACACTTAGCCCTTCCTTTAACTTTATCAGAAATCTGCTATTCAACTTTGTTATTTTATTCCCCCTAGTCAAGTTATTATATCCCGGAGGTTCATGTTAAGCTCCCACGGCCCTCTAAACTTATTAATATTTGTTAACTTTTGTCTAAAAATAAATGAAAATTTAAAATAAATAAATGTACTCCAAACCAAAGGAAAAATGAGAGTTAATAACCAAAAAAAGTTTAATCTTTATTCGTTTTATGTCTAAATTGATTTGATTTAGATTAAACACATTATTACCTCTATAAGCACATGTTGATTACTGTAAAACTCTAGATGAAGTTCACAATGTGTTGAATCCTCACACCGATCAATGCTAAAATGTAAACACAAGTTCATAACTAATCTTTCCTCCATAACTCATTCTTTTAATGCCAAAATGTTGTGTGTATATTTTGTAAAAATCTAGCGCAATCATAATTTCTTATCGAATAGTTAAAATGCAGAGACTTGGTTTAACATTTAATATTTTACAGTTAGAACCAGAAAACTGTGAAATATATATCGCCTTTGTTTTTTCTTTTACTTTATTCATAAACATTGCCCGCACCTCTGACCCTTAAGTAAAAGTAAATTTAACCTAAAGTTTGACCGCGTCAACCTTGTTGCACCGGCTAGTCCTATTTTACTGTCTGCTTTATTTACCCAATGTACGGGCGATATAGTACAAACTGGGACCGGAAAGGTTGACCCGGCTCGGAAATTCAAATGTACTACGGCTGCCCGTGATTGCCTGCAAACCAAATGTTCTCAATTACTACTTTATATATAGATATCGCTTAGTATTTTGTTATTTGCAATTGTTATATATTTCTAAAGTGTTGAAATTTAGAAATGGTTTGCCGCAAAAATTCTTCTATGATTTAAAAAAAGAACATTACGATAATTCCACTGTTTCTGGCTCTCACTGTATCTTCGGTAGTATTAAATCTTGTGTTATATATATTAATATCTGCTACATCTATATGTATTATATATAACCTTCTAGAGGTATTACATTTTGTTTTATGTAGCTCAATGTCTGCTACAACTATAAATATTATATATTACCTTCTAGAGGTATTAAATATTGTTTTATATATCTCAATATCTGCTACATCTGTATACATTACCTTCTAGAGGTATTAAATCTTGTTTTATGTAGCTCAATGTCTGCTACAACTATATATATTATATATTATCTTCTAGAGGTATTAAATCTTGTATTATGTATCTCAATATCTGCTACATCTGTATATATTACCTTCTAGAGGTATTAAATCTTGTTTTATGTAGCTCAATGTCTGCTACAACTATATATATTATATATTACCTTCTAGAGGTATTAAATCTTGTTTTATGTATCTCAATATCTGCTACATCTATATATATTACCTTCTAGAGGTATTAAATCTTGTTTTATATATATCANTCAATATCTGCTACATCTGTAAATATTACCTTCTAGAGGTATTAAATCTTGTTTTATATATCTCAATATCTGCTACATCTGTAAATATTACCTTCTAGAGGTATTAAATCTTGTTTTATATATCTCAATATCTACTACATCTATATATATTATATATTACCTTCTAGAGGTATTAAATCTTGTTTTATGTAGCTCAATGTCTGCTACAACTATGTTATCAGTCATCTCATTTTCATTGCTAAAGATAAAGTAGTAGAATCCTAAAAAAATGCTCGAATTAGTTTAGTAAAAAGTAACATATCATGTGTCTAATCCTGCATATCTGCGACTGCATTCTGATGACGTATATGATTTTTATTTCAATCTTAAAAGCTGCCCAGGTCAAGTATTAACAAGTAAGCAGTGAGTTATACAGTGAGTTTACACCATCCGAATTTAATGAATTTCCGCCGCGTCTTAAATCCGCAAAAAAACGGTTTCAATTGAGCACCGCCTTAAATCTTGAAACATTGAATATACAAATTTAAGTGGAATCAACCATATTTAAGCCGTGTCTCAAATTTCAGCCGCAGCTCAAATTCTTTAAATTCGGCCTCTGGTTGCAAAGAGACCCAGAGCCCGCGATTTAAAAACTTCGGCTAGAGCCGTAATTCCTTAAACCCGACTTTAAGACCCAATCTTCGGCCCAACTCTGACGACAGCTTGTGTCACGTAATTGACAGCTTTAAGATCTTCGACTCGACTTAAGGAAATGAAAATAAAACCGACCTTGTTTTGTTTAGTGGAGAATCAGGCTCAATGTTGAGTCTTGTTCACATAAAAACCCGGAATGCGGTAATTCCTAACATGAAAATCCGCCAAATAGAAAATTAAACCGGTTTTTTTTAACTCTGTTGAAAATAAGATGCAGCTTGAATCCGAAAGCTCAAGCCGTAAATAAGGCAAGCCAACTTAGACCCGAGCCGTATTTTCCCGAATTTTTTAAATCGCGGGCTCAGGATCAGGAAAGTACATTATCTAAAGCAAGTAATCTGTCACTTTACTTAGGTTTCAATGCATAAGGGTCATATTATGTTAAAACTGGTTTGGAAACCGAGCTTTGCATGGAAACTAAGCTTTTATCTACAAAAGAGAAAACAATTTAGCCAAGAATATTCCCGTGGTTCTACCGAATTCCAAAATTAAAATTTGAAGCAAATCGTTCCAGGGATCATTAGTTATGATTAAACATAAAATAAACAGATAAGCAGAGATTACTACTTTATAGAAGATATAACTATGTGACCTGTAGCATTTATTTGAATGTCTTGGGCAGATGTATTAATATTGAAGGGATACCATTCCATTATATTAGATAAATCATCTTCTGTGGATTCACACTGTAATAATGTATTATTAATGTAGGATACCATTCCATTATATTAGATAAATCATCTTCTGTGGATTCACACTGTAATAATGTATTATTATTGAAGGGATACCATTCCATTATATTAGATAAATTATCTATATTATATTATATTAGAAAAAATGGATCCAGAGAGCCAAAATAATGCGGATCCAGCGGATCCGGATCCGGATCCTAAGCACTGGTAATAATGTATTATTAATGTAGGATACCATTCCATTATATTAGATAAATCATCTTCTGTGGATTCACACTGTAATAATGTATTATTAATGTAGGGTACCATTCCATTTTATTAGATAAATCATCTTCTGTGGCTTCACACTGTAATAATGTATTATTAACGTAGGATACCATTCCATTATATTAGATAAATCATCTTATGTGGATTCACACTGTAATAATGTATTATTAATGTAGGATACCATTCCATTATATTAGATAAATCATCTTATGAGAAGGGTGAGAAGGTTGAGAAGGCTGAGAAGGTTGAGTAGGTTGAGAAGGTTAAAAGGTTGAGAAGACTGAGAAGGGTGAGAAGGTTGAGAAGGCTGAGAAGGTTGAGTAGGTTGAGAAGGTTAAAAGGTTGAGAAGACTGAGAAGGTTGAGAAGGCTGAGAAGGCTGAGAAGGCTGAGAAGGTCGTGAAGGCTCATTATTAGACCCTTTAAAGTGTACAGTTACCTGTTTATGGGGTAAAAACTCATGAACCGTAATGACCCCATGACAGTTTCTCAGAGCCTCCTCACTACTACTATCCGAGGATCTAACCTAAAATAATAATATTTTTTTTAAGAGTCCAGGGATCTAATTTAATGAATTTTACCTGGATCTTTTACCCCGAAAATTCATTAATTTCGGTCCCCGATACACATTAAAATTTATTCTAAGTTTTGTCTACGTTCTGAGTCAAGGTTTTTTTTCGTTTGCGTTACAAAATTCATTAATTTCTTTCGAATTGCAAGTTATTAAAATTTATTAGCAATTCCTATCATTCTGTTCTTTAAGTAGTAAATGACGTACTCTTAAAGCTTCATCCATAACTGTATGAATCCAGACACAACTTGTCAGCTATAAATGTCAACACGGGTACAAGCTCTTAATAAATCAATGTCGAACCAATGGGCACAATCTCAGCTCATCTGTTTCAACGAGGACTAGCTATCAATGTCAACTCGCACACAAGCTCTTAATAAATCGATGCCGAACCAATGGGCGGGATCTCAGCTCATATATTTTAATGAGGACCAGCTATCAATGTCAACACGGATACAAGCTCTTAATAAATCAATGCCAAACCAATGGGCATGATCTCAGCTCAAATGTTTCAACGAGTACCAAATTACTCTATCACCGTAATCAAAGCAGAGTCTCTACCAAATAATGTGTATTTACACATCTATGTCATATGTAAAGTTAATATACATATTTACACGAGTTGCACAGATATATATCATCATAGTTAAGCTAATCACAATTTGTAGCTAGTCTAGTCGCATTACAAGTTTCGCGTAGTTTATGATTAACGCAGTTAGATTAACAGACAACATACAACGTAATTCATTTATGGATGTTCAACTGTATTTATTACATGTATTCTAATATCTTAAAAACTATTCTAAATTAAGAGTTTTAGAGAGTCTGTAAAAATTTTTTTATTACAAAATTATGTGAAATGAGAAAAAAAAACAATTTAAAATTATTATTTGAAATGTTGTTTTATAACAAATATTAATACTGACCTCTTCATTTGATTTCTCCTGTTTCCCCTTGTTGTTCCGCTGATTGTAAATACCAGTATTGAAGAAATGATCTGGCTGTTTTCCTGTTTCTACATCTACCACCTCATCTTCATCTGCTTCTGCAGTTAAATGGATTAATGCTTAAACTGCATCAATACATATTTTAGTCACAAAATTAAAATAGTAATAATAATATCTATTAAAGTCGCAATGAATAAAGTCTTTTCATCAGAAAACCTGGAGAAAAATGTCATTGAAATCATTAATTTTTGTAAGAAGCAGCGCCAGCAAGCAATCTTATTTAAATAAAAACGCATTTCTAAATATTATTTTTATTATTATTATTTATTATTATTATTATTTTGTCTTGCACTAGGATGTTATATACCTGCTTGCTTATTTTAAATAGTTATTGTCCCCCAAATGTAACCTTTAAAAGGAGTGTTCGCGAAAAATAAAAGGGGGTATAGGCTTACAGCGAAAAGTAAGCGCTTTTGATCGCTATTAATCTTATTTATATTTGCTGCGTCTATAAAGAGAAAATTGTTAAAAACTACTTATACTGAAGAACGTAGCGTCCATACTCCATACAAATTCAGAAAGTTGCAACATTCAACTCGAATCGTAAAAAATTAAAATTAATTTAATTCCATACAAATCATTCAGATATTACAAACAATAGGCATCGATTATTTTTTTGATGCATTCGTAATCGTATACAGGTAATATTTCATAATATTTTTGATTTTGTTTTTAATAAAAAATTTGCTGGCGCTGGATTTTCGAACATATATAACTTGAAATATAAAAATATTACTTCTGGATCAACTTTTAGTGATTTTTCTTTTGCATTATTCCTGAATTGAATTCATCATTTTTTTCAGACAAATCCTCTCCTCCACTGTCATTCTCAATATCATCCCTATCCAATATTAATTAATATTAATAAACATCTTCTAGAAAAATATCATGATGTATATTAAATTATTGGTTTAAGTTGGGTTTTATTTGCAATTTCCACTCATTTCTGGCATTTACAAACTCCATCAAATAATGGCTTCATTTCATACCTTTCAGCCTTCACCTTGTTTTGTATCCTTCATTATTGTCATACATTTTACATTAACTGCAAAGATCTGTATAAAAACTGAATGTATTTTAATTAACATAAAAAATAAGAGGAAAAAGATGTTACTTTTTTTAATCTTTAGAAAAGCTACTTTGCAAAACTTTGAAAAAAATTTTTCTTGTCGTCAATGTAGTATGTTAAGATCTTAAATAAAACTAGGCTTTCAGAACCCTTCGTGCCCATTTTCTATTTCAATTGTGAACATTTTCTCTTTGTTTCGCTACTTAGCGATTTCCCTAAAGATCTAATATATATACCGTGTGGTATTTCTCAGGACCGGATCGTAAGACCCCTTCTCTCAACGCTCTTCATAATAAAAAAGGAAGATAGTAAGGTTCCGAACGTTTATTTCTCTGAGCCTTCAATCTAAACAAGTTTAATAA